TGGAAATGAATTGTACTATGAACTACATGGAAGTAGGTATTGAATATTTCCCCATGCTTTACTAAGAAGTCTTAATATTCTGTAAAACAAAATAAAACAAAACAGGAAGCAAGTGATAGCAGTTGAATCTTCTCTAAGAGCCCATGCCAGTCAGGGTGGCCCAGCAAACACTTAGGTGCCCCTTCACCAAGTGAAATGTGCACAAGGTGCCTGTCACCTGCGGTGAGTTTACAGTTGGCACCTGAGAGGACTCATCTAGCAACTCTGACTGGACCCTGAGGCTTCTGGTTTGAGAGGCTATAGCTTCTTCACCCTGGAAATTATCCTCCATTCTTTCTGTGACTAGCATCTATGAGAAGGTTGATTGTTTAGGATTCACAGTGAACAGCCTGTTGAGGGCAGGAGAAATAATGATGTAGGAAACAGCAGTGTGATGCAAGGTATTCCTCTACCTTTTCCCTTGGATTGAAGCACCAACCTATAGACTTCCAAATAGCTTTTCCTAAATTGAGGAACTCCAAAAGCTTGGACCACAAACATTGAAAAGCTGGCAAATACATTTAAAGGCTTTATTTTGGCTTTTTGTTAATACATATCGAACTGACCTTTTAGTGTGAATGTTTTTAGTATCATTCAAACTTAAAGGCAAAATAGATCCATGAGATCATTTAACCAAACGTTAAAGTTATTTTTCAAAGTCACTTCCAGAAAGTTAGCCCAGAAGTTTCTGCTTTGTTAGTCAGAGCTTACTTTGTGGAAGTTCCCAACATGAAAGTTTAACTGAACAGCCCTATTCTGCCCTCTGCCCTTCTCGACCACAGCTGCCTGCTCATGAGTGTTTTCCCCTCTCTAAACGCGCTGGCTCTGTGCTAGGCTGTTAGGAAGTAGGGCTGCTTCTGTGGGTTCCCAGCCACAGCTGTGACCACTAGAGGAGGGTGGGGAAGGGACAGGGGGAGTGAGCGGAAGCGTGGGTGACACGTTCCATGACACCCAGTGTAGGAGTAACCCTGGTAAGTTTTCTCCTGGCCTCAAGTCACTTTTCTGGTCCAAAAGATACTGGGAAAACTGAGTTACTTCGAGTTTACTGCTTGCGAGTAGGTCATCTCTGAAATGGATTTTGGGTAGTTTCATGGGGTCTAAGGGGAGATTTCTACACCCACTCCTAGAGCCATAGGGTCTGTGGCTGTGGAAAGACACAGAAGCATGGCTGCTCAGGAAGAAAGTGGAGAATCTCTGAGTACAAGTCAGTTCAAACCTGTGGCACCTGTCAGGGATTAAGTTCTGGAGAGAACCCCTTTTTGGGGTTGTAGGGAGGACCTCTTCTCTACTGTGGGCCTGGAGACCCAAACTGGAGTCTATGTTAGCCTCCCTGGTCGATAGACTGCAAATTCTGTACACACTGAATCCTAGGGCCTGTCCTGCATTTGAAGGGCATTTGTTGCTTTTAAGAATTCTTAGTTTTGCCACAACTGCTCAAATATCATAAATAAAAAAAGAAAGATACAACAATCACAATAATACATTGAACTTTCAAAAGGAGAGAAAGAACTGAGGTTACCAGAGGTGGGAAGGGGGAATAGGGAGAGTTGGTTAAGGGAGGAATGAAGGGCCATGAAAAATGATAACTCTGTATAACGTTGGATATACTAATCATGTTGATTTGAGCATCACATATTGCACACAAGTATTGATATTCAACTCTGCACCCCACAGACATGTACAATCAACTATGTTTTGTTTCAATATATATTTTTTTTCCTTTTTTTTTTTTTTTTTTTTTT